CCAAAGTGGTTAATTGGAGAATGTGATTTATGACATGGCCAGGGAGGAGGGGAGAGACAGGGTCATAGGGGAACGTAAATCTACGTGGGATTAGTTCTAACTGCATCCTAATATTGCCGAAATGGTGCTCCTAATAAATGACTGGATTTCTTTTGAAGTTTGGCTCATGGCTTATGAATTAATTAGGGCACCTTTCGGAAACTTCACACCCAGTTGTGGCTTAGGGTTCTTCTTGTCAAGCCACTCTTGATAATATTGTTTTGAAGCAATGTACTTGGCACACACCCAATGTCATGTTCTTGCATCACTGGCAGTGGCACTCCTTAGTGATAAAGAACGCCAAATCCTCCATTGTAGGTGTCAGGTTTCCGAGTAATGCGCCCATTGAAAGCAGGTAGATTCCTCAAAGAACACGTTTATTGGATACATCATATCGGCACAGCCGGTGAAAACCAACTCTCACCATTTTCACCTAATTAAAACAGTAAAACTCCCCCCTCCCAGGTGTCACCAGTCACATTGTCCAGTGAAGATGGATGACAGGCTCCTCTCCTCTTTCAACAGCCACCTGTTTCAGTGACCTTGGATCCCACAGGAAAACTTTTTGTTTTGACTATAGCTGGCTATCTGCTTCCCCCCGTCTCTGGCTTCGTGGCAACTATGAGGCAATATAAGATGGCTTCAGCCAAGTTTGCTTCCGATTTGACAGTAGGGTGAGCACGCCACAGGAAAATGAGACCGACTGAACTCTATATTGGGGTAATCAATCCCACGTTGTGACCAGGCTGGCCACTGCTTGTCTAGTTATGTCTCCTGCCCACCAATCTGTACCCCGTCCTCCAAGATAGGGGCCATGGCAACATCCTGTACTTCACACGGGGACCCTCAAGTAGAGCAACTCACCTTTATGATCCTCCAAAAGAGCAGAGAGCTACTACCCTTTACCCCTCTTCAAACCTCTGGCTGCAGCCTTACCACTGTATCTAAACATATCCAAGGGTGAGGGGCAAATATTGTTCCCAAGATACCATCTCACCTGGGTCACCACCGAGCCACTTATATAGGTAGTCCTCCTTGTTCTGCACATCAGAACAATTAGACACAAGGACAGTTTTTTCCCGAATGCCATCACTCTGCTAAACAACTAATTCCCACAACACTGTCGAACTATTTACTAAGACTGTATTACTATTATTCTTCTCATCCTTCCTATTACCTATCTCCTCCCACTTATGACTATAACCTTGTTGCTTGTAGCTCTACGATTTATATTTTGTTTCCTAGTATGATTTGATTGCTTATTTAGTAACATATGATCAGGGGTGAAATCCAGCAGGCTCTGATAGGTTCTGGAGAACCGTTAGCAGAAATTTTGAGTAGTTCGGAGAACCGGCAAATACCACCTCTGGCTGGCCCCAGAGTGGGGTGGAATGGAGATTTTGCAATATCCTTCCCCTGGAGTGGGGTGGGAATGGAGATTTTGCAGTATCCTTCCCCTGCCATGCCCAAGCCACGCCCACCAAGCCACACCACACTACGCCCACCAAGCCACGCCCACAGAACCGGTAGTAAAAAGATTTGAATTCCACCACTGCCTATGACTATCTCTAAGTATTGTATCTTATGATTCTTGATGAATGTTTTTTTAATGTACATTGAGAACATATGCACCAAAGACAAATTCCTCGTGTGTCCAATCACACTTGGCCAATAAAAGAATTCTAATATACGCTCATTCAGCAACTGTTTAGTTACGATGGCATTGAAAACACAGACCTGTAAGTAGTAAGAATAACAGAAGGGACTTGGAAGTCTTCTACTCTAACTCCCCACTCAAGTAGGAGACCCTATACCATTTCAGACGAATGGTTGTCCAATCTCATCTTAAAAACTTCTAGATGAAGCATCCACAACTTCTGACAGCAAACTGTTCCACTGGTTAATTGTTCTCAGTGTCAGGAAATTTCTTAGTTCTAGGTTGCTTCTTTTCTTGATTATTTTCCATCCGTTGCTTCGTCTTGCCTTCTGACGCTTTGAAAAATAGGTTGACCGCCTCTTCTTTGTGGCAGGCTCTCATATATCGGAAGACTGCTGCTATGTCGCTCCTAGTCCTTCTCTTCACTAACTAGACATACCCAATTCTGCAACCGTTTTGTGTTTAAGCCTCCCGCCCCCTAATCTTTGCTCTTTTCCGCCCTCTTTCTAGTCTCAACATTTTTTTATATTGCAGCGACCAAAACTGCATGCATTATTCCAAGCGTGGTCTTACCAAGGCATTATAAGTTCACACTTGGAATACTGCAACCAGTTTTGGAGGTCCTCAAACTTAACGACCGTTGCAGCTCCCCCAGTCACATCCAGCCATTGTCTCAGCTGACCTTTCTCCCAATTCTCCCTGGAAGGATTGTTGTGCCCTGCAATGCTGGGATGGACGCAGATGTAATTTTCATGCTGTGGCAGCTATAGTGCAGGATTGGAGGCAGCACTCCTTGGTGGCGGTGGCAACCCTGGAGCTGAAGTAGACACTCAGGGCAGACTGGAGGCCCTGGGCTCCTGCTTCGGTCCTAGCACTGCCACCATTGCCAAAGAATACCACTGTGCAGAGCAGCCAAAAGAGCAGAGATAGACGGAAGGAGTCGAAAAGGAGAGTTCCTTACCTTGGAAGAACTGAGGCAAAGGACTTGAAGAAACTAAGCTGAAAATAGCAATAGCACCTTAAAAGACTTATATACCACTTCCTAGTGTTTTACAGCCCTAAGTGGTTTACAGCGTCAGCCTCTCGCCCCCAAGAATCTGGGTCCTTATTTTACCGACTTCAGAAGGATGGAAGGCAGAGTCAACCTTGAGCTGCTCAGAATCGAGTAAAGTGCTCAGTACTGCATTTTAACCAGTGTGCCACTACGGAAAATAACTTGGACTGGGGTGGGTGCTTGCCTATCAGCTATGTAGCATTTGTCCCAAAAGTGCTTTTTCAAGAGGCAACCGGACTTCATTTCTCATCCAAGAAGCTTCTTCAGCTCTTGAACGTCTTCAAAGAAAAACATAAAGTCCAGTTGCCATTTTTGGGACAACTGTGACCTGTATGACTGAAAATCTCCATAGACATGAAGCATTTGCTTAACTACAACAGGAACCCCCCAAACTGAAATCCCTAAGCAGGGAGACTATGTGATGTATCACAGCCGCCTTCCTTAAGTGACAAAATTGCCACCTCTGATTGTGTTCAAAGAAAGGACTGCCTGTACTTGGCATGCTAGAGCAAACCACACTAGAGCAGGTCTCCAGCTCATAGCACGCCGGAGGAGACAATCCGGCTCACTTGACTTTCCATCTCGGAGCAACTAACTGGTAGGGTTTTGTGCTGGAGGAGACTCCATCTGACTTTCTGGCTTGCCTTGAACCACCACTGAATGTGGCTCACACTGGAGATACCCCACTGGGCTCACCTGGTTTTTCCCAGAATGTTTATTTTTCTCTCCCCACAATTCACTTATCAATGGCTAAGTCACCTTTTCGGAAGTTGAAAGGAATAATTTCCAAAGGAGTAATTAACAAAAATGCACCAGAACAGCATTTTCAAAGAGAAAATGTGAATGCTCCAGGAACACTTGATTATTCCAGGATCGTTAACAGGTAGTTTGTTTTTTTTAAATTTGATTTATATGCCGTCCTTCTCCGGACTCAGGGCAGCTTACAATGCGCTAAGCAATAGCCTTCATACTTTTGTATATTTTTACAAAGTCAGCTTATTGCCCCCACAAACTGGTCCTCAATTTACCTACCTTAGAAAGAATGGAAGGCTGAGTCAACCTTGAGCCTGGTGAGGTTCGAACTTACAGTAATTTAAGTTTTGCATATTTTTTATCTTGTACAAATGATTGGAGTCCATAAACCAATGGCCCACTCTAGAATTTTCCAGCAATCTCTACCAACGACCAATAGGTCTCACAGGCTTTGTTATTAGTGCAGAAGATTATTAGTGTACTTCCACTCGGTATATGGAAAACTGTATGACTGCTTTAGTTCTTACATCCCTGTAAATTCCACCAGACAATGGTGGCATTTCTAACCAACTCTTAAAACATAGAAAAGTTGGAAGGGACCTTGGAGATCTTCTACTCCAATCCCCTGCTCAAACGGCAGACCTCATGGCGAACCTATGGCACACGTGCCTGAAGTGGCACACCAAGCCCTGTCACCTGGCACGTGCGGCTTTGCCTGTTCCTCTCCCAAGTTTCTAGCACACATGCATGTGCGACAATCAGCTGGCCTTTTTGCATGCAGCAGTGCCGGAAATCAGAAGAACTGGTCTTCTGTCTTCCTGCGTGAGCATGCACGCCAGCCAGCTGATCGTTGCGTGCGCGTGCGCATCAGTAACCCGGAAGAATAGCCGGCTCAAACCGGAAGTTCAGTAGCTGAAACCAGAAGTTCATATTCGGGAGTGCATGCGCCCTGGCCAGCTCTTCCGGGTTGCGGCCCAAATGTGCGCGCACTCCCTTTTCGGCATTCAGTGCCGAAAAGGTTCGCCATCCCTGCCTTGTACCATTTCAGACAAACGGTTGTCCAATTTCTTCTCAAAAGCCTCCAGTGTCCAGATTTCTGAATGCAAGTTATTCCATTGGTTGGTTGCTCTCTGTCAGGAAATTTCTCCTTGGTTCCAGGTTAGCTTTTCTCCTTGGTTAGTTTCCATTCATAGTTTCTTGTCTTGCCTTTTGGTGCTTTGGAAAATAGGATATGCCCCTTCAGTCTTTGAAGGAGCCCCTCAAATATTGGAACACTGCTATCATGTTTCCCCGGTCGTTCTTTTCATTACCCATCTTCACTCATCCACTGCTACAGTGCCTCAAGACCAAGCAACAGAATTTGACTATTAATTGTAGACTACCAACAGTGCACTTGGATGTACACAATGAACTTTCCCAGCATGTTCCCCGGTTTTAGAGTGGAGACAGCCTCTGGCCCAGCACCTACCCATTAAGAGCCACCGCTCACAAAAGAAGTTGGTTCTATATACTTTATTGTATTTATAACTGGACAATCACACGTGTACAAAATGGGAGACCACACTACCTGAAGCAGAGGATTGTGGGTTGCAGCAGCATTTCCATTGACCCAAAAGCTTTTAGTAGAAGAACGCATCAGCTGATTGGGCAAAAGAAAGATGGGAGGAGAAAGGAGGAAAGGAAGAGGAAAGATCGCTGGCCAATTCTTAATCAAAGGACAAATCCTTTGGATATTACTGATCAAATCAGTCTCTCCTCAGTTGTGTGCCAGATTTTTTGGGAGGGATTGTGTTTTAAGGGAGAAAAGGTACTGGCTTTGTCAGCTATCCTCAGTGCTCCAAGGAAGTTGCCCTTTGAGGCTATGAAATTCTTTGCTATTCTCACCATCCATGATAATAACCCTCAGACATTTTTGGTCACAAATCTTCCTCGAGCTGTAGGAGAAAGCAATGAGGAATATTCCCACCTTTGCCGCACAACAACAATTACAACAGCAAGAGCCAAGTATAGGAGCCAGAATTAATTCAAGGGTTGTCCAGTCTATGATTTCTTGTCTAAGTCTACTGATACATATGCACAAGGATTTCCAAAAAATACTAGGATATAATAATGCAAGTAGTGAACAACAGAAGGGGGGGTTATCACACGGTGGATGTTCCCTAGAATGACCACAAGGGGGTGGTGTTGGACTGGCCCTTTTACATCCTGGGACAGAAGCAAGACATGAGCCCCGACTCTCAAAACCACCTGATGTCAGCTGCATCTCCAACAGTAACTGAAACAACGCAGGTGCCGGTGTCCCCTTTTTTTCTCCCCCCCCACCCTTCAAAGAGCAGCTGCAGGATTCCAGCTTCCAGCCTCTGAATGGAGGAGGGGCCAGTGAAATGCTCTTGAACGTCGAGACCAAAGGGTGAGAGCGAGCCAGCTTGCTGCACGGGGCTAGCATCTTGTCTCGTAGATCCCGCTCCTGCCAATGTACCTCACCCATTTGATCACATCGTGGTCACTGTAGTTCAGCTTTGGCTCAAAGACTTTCAGGTAGCGCACCTTCAGCCCGGAAGGCGCGAAGGGAACCTGTACAAAGGCAGAAGACAAGGAAGGGAAAGTGAACCTCTTACAGCCAGGCTTTTCAAAAGCTCGCCCTTGTGAATCTTTTTCAAAGTCAACGTGAGAGTTACTGGGCTGTCCGTAATTATTCTAATGAGGCACAAGGAATTACTATACCGGAGCACAGAACAAGGGAAGGAAAAGAGACACCGTTTTTTATGAGTATATCTAGCTCGTTGGCTAAAACGAGATTCCAATTACTTTCCCTGAAAGAGACTCCATTGTGAAGGTACCCTTCACACAAAAGCAACAGGCAAACTCGGCTTTCAGACCAACCCTCCTCATGTACAAACAAAAATTACTGTACTTTTCGGAGTATAAGACACACTCCCCCCCCCCCCCCACAAAAAAAGAGGTTGGAAATGTTGATGCATCTTATAAACCGAATACAGCCATTTTTGGCCTCCCAAAACCCCACCCCGTGTGTTCCGTTTTCACCAAAAACAGGCCCTTTTTTTGCAAAAATGAGGTGCGCAGAGGATTTGGGAGGCCTGCAGAGTGCTCCTGGTGGCTGGGGAGGGCAAAAACCAGACACACAGAGGCAAAAAACTTTTTTTTTTCTTGTTTTCCTCTTCGAAATCTTGGTGCGTCTTATACTCCGGTATGTCTTCTAGTCCGAAAAACACATTATCTCGTAATCCTCCCTCATTTAAGCTACTTTTCCATCAATCCTTTCATTTGAGGGTCGCAATGCGAGAAAATAACAATCCTGGAAATCAGTAACTGACTAAAGAGATGATGTTGCAAAGGTTCGGCTTTTTTGAGGATTGCCTTTAGGTTTGCTGAGGACTCCAGAGAAGAGATGCGATATGTTTTACAAAGCCTGGAAATGTTTGGCAGGAGCTTGGGACAACCAAGAGGTCAGAAGATTGGGCTGCTGAAGCCCCTCAGAACGTTTCTTTATCATATCTCCTGTTCCCAGCAACCTCTTAGCAAGAACGTGGCTGCTTACCTCAAAGTTCATAGAGATGGGTGGCCGAGCCCATTTCTTCTTGTCGTTGGTTGGAAGCAGTTCTATCTCTGCGCTGATCTGAGACTCTTTCATTCCAGCCATCCTTTTAATTCTATAAAATTGAAAAGAAAAAAAAATGTTTGCTAAAAATATACACAAGTGTCTTAAGCACACTCCAAAGTTTCCAAATTTGGTAATTTTTAAGGCTTGTGGTCTTCAATTCCCAGAATTCTCCAGCCAACCATTCTGCTAGGGAATTCTGGGAGTTTGTTCTGTCCCCCTTCCTCACACAGGCAAACATAATACCAAGCACGCCTGCCAATATTTTATTAGGTAAACAGATTAGAATTCTTGGCAGACCAAGGTTTTGGCAGCAAATTGCCAAATGCCTGCCAAGACCGTTTTCACTCCCATAAAGCAAAAGAGGACTTATCTTCAGTCCATTCCAGGAGCAACAAATTATCCACGAGATAAGAGTTTAGTCAATGTTCAGTCCAAAATATATCCAAGCCGAATTTCAGAGATCACGATGTGACTTTCAGGGTTTAACTTTGTCCATCACAAAGCCTGAAGAGCCATCCCACCCACTTTTATTCCTGGTGGGGCGTGGCTCCATGACTCAGCTCAATCTCTGGCCTTCCCACACCTCTTCTGTTGCTGCGCACGATTCTCCCTCTGACGCTGCCTGGGATCAAGCCAGGATTCATCCTCCTCGCTCCCTATCAATTGGTGCTCCGATATGCCTTCCTCCTGGCACATCCCAGGCTGTTTCTCCTGGCCTTCGGATGGAACCTGAGGCATTGCCAGAGAGGAGGGTCCTGGAGAGGGAGGCCTTGTCAGTTCCTCCCCATCACCTTCTGAGTCCTCTTCCTCTGTTAGGACAGGCTTGGGAGTCGGGGTCACAACAGAGTTGAAGTCCATAAGTCTTAAAAGTTGCCAACTTTGGAGACCCCTGGCCTAGAGGGAAGTACAACCTCTCCCAGTGCCAGCAATCACATGGTAGATGCACAGAGCTCCAGCTGCCCAATTCAGAAAAAAACATGCCACTTACTTCCAGACAATGGCATTCTCACTGGCCTTGTATTTTGCTTTTCCTTTCATGCAGATGACTTGTACACCACTAGTATTAAGAGGAGTCGGGATTCGCACCTGGAAAAAATGTTTATTTGAATCACATTTGGCTGCTTAGTTGAAAAACATGGTGGTGGGGGGGGTTGTGTTTGTTTTTGGAAAGGAAGAGAAGATAGCTTAAAAGCAAAAATGCACACCCGAAAAAAAACAAGAAAATCATCTTGGCAGGATTGCACTACAAGTAGACCTCAATTTACAACCGGTCGCTTAGGTTTGAAGTTACAATGGAGTTTCCCAGAACTATATACAACACAGTTTTGAAGTTCTGACAGTCTCTTAGCCCCCACCCCACCCCCACCCCCAGGTCACGATTGCATTTTGGACACTTGGAAACCATCCCACATTTACAGCTGTTTGCAGCATTCCGCGGTCATGTGACTGCAACTTACAACTACCTACATTTACTTTTGGTTTCTGGCAAAAAAAAAAAAAAAAAAAGCCCACTGACTGAAATGGGTTCACGTAACGACCACCTCATTTATTTCATGACTGTCACGAAAATGATCGTAAAACTAGGCTCCGTCATGTGGGTGACCTGCTTAACGACTGGTACAACTTGGCATCATAATTCTGGGCTCAATTATGGTCGTAAGTCGAGGACTACCTGCACAGGCAGGAGGAAGTGAGTACAAAAGAGTTCCTTAAGAATCATAGCACAATTTGGTTGTCAAAAACTCAGTACGTGGAGGGCCCTACTGGCCTTATTTACAAATACGGTTACATTGTCTTTACAGCCTAAAAAGCAATATTATGGAAATTTTTATGTTTCTATGTCTTTTACTGTTATGTGGCAGTTCTGTGTTTTTTTCCTCTACCCTTGAGTTTCAGTCCTGCTTTCCGAATGCTTCCTCGTCATTACTATCTCTTTCCTCTCTTCCCACTGATGAGATCAAGTTTCCCAGGTGGAGCTCAATTGGACTGCCTTCTGCCACTGATAGCCTCTCACCGACCAGTACGCTCCCACAGAGAGGGGCTCCTCAGGGTGCCGTCAGTCAAACAATGCCGACTGGCGGCCCCCAGGGGGAGAGCCTTCTCTGTGGGGGCACCTACCCTGCCCCTGGGGATACGGCGGATCCCGGATCTTCGCACCTTTCGCTGTTCCCTAAAGACATTTTTATTCCAGCAAGCCGGGCTGGCATAACTCTTTTAAATTGTTTTAATTTTTAAATTGTTTAATTGTGGGTCTTAATACAGGGGTGCTTTTAATTGTGGGCCAAATTAATTTAATTGGATTTTAATACTGTTTTTAAATTTTGTATTTCTTGTGTTTTATCTGTTGGCTGTTCACCGCCCTGAGTCCTTCGGGAGAAGGGCGGTATATAAATATAAACAATAAATAAAATAAAATAAATAAATAAATTAACATTGACCTTAACTCACACCTTGCAGGAAATTCTTCCCATTTATGCTACTCAAGGCTTTTATTAAGTGCCTATACCTCAGCAAGTACCCCATCATTGTGCCTAGTACTGCTCTTAATCACCATTATCACTGAAGTTCAATGTTCTGTTATCACGTCTAAGATTTCCTTTTGTCCTACTGATATTTTTATGTATCTTAAGACTATAAAAAAGATGGCAAATCTGGTATGGATGGAGAAATCTAGGCATAAAGTTAACAAATTTTAAATATCACAGAACATGTGTGCTGTATCATCAGAAGTTCATACCGTTGAAAAGTATTTCATATGTATTTTCTAATCCAAATCCTCAAGTCACTGTTGAGCTGTTGGTTCAGCCAATTTAAGTAAAGACTATAGCTGGTCGATAATGCATTAAATCAATAATATAAATTATACATCAGGGTAAGAACTAATCTCTAAAGAAAGAATGCAAATGACCAGCTGTTTGCAAGGAATATAAACCCTTTCATTCTCCACAATTCAGTCAGAGCTGAAGAAGCTTCTTGGATGAGAAGCGAAACATCTTCAAAAAAAACCCCAGAAAGTCCAGTTGCCTCTTGAAAAAGCACTTTTAGTACAACCAGGACCCATGACTGAGAATCTCCATAGACATTAATCTCTAAAGATCCAATTTTGGATGTAGCCTGATTCTGGGTATAAGGCTTTAGTTGAAGGATGGTTTCCATTTAAAACTAAATTCTACATCAGATTTACTTTTTAAATGAAAGGTTATGCTGGACACCAAGACACTCTCAGAATTTAGTCAGTCATTCTTCTGAAAAGAGAACAGAAGATCTTTTCCAATAAAAGGTATATAAAATTCTTTCCAACATTGACCTGAAGAATATCAATTCAATCCATTTTGAAAGGATATGCAGTTCAATGAAATTTAGTAAAAAATTTATCAGGTTTTAAAGGTTACAACTTTCAGGATTTGTTCCATTCCGCAATGCATCGTTTTTCAAATACTGTTGAGATTTACAACTTGCCTGATAATATTTCCAACATCAGTTTTAAGCTCATCTATGTACACAAAACAGGTTTTTTAAAAAAACTTTTTTTTTTCTCAAAATGATGCAAAGGCAACGAACACGTAGCGAGGTAAAAAGAAAACTGTTTATTCTCGGTGCTTACCTCTATCTTCTGAGCCAAGAGGGAAGGCTTAAAGTTAGATTTGATCACCACTTTCACCTCCAGCTTGGTGCGTCCCACCTCACGTACCAGGGGGATGACCCGGAACGGCAAGATAATGTCTTTAGTGGTTCGGTACCTGGTGGAAAAGAATTTCAATATGGAAGAGGGGAATATGTCACTGCCCACACAACCAGCAAATACTCGTAACTGAAAATCTATCTGAAACGTACTGCTACTTTTGTCTCACGGATTATCTCTGTCCCACTTTTCAACCATTTCTTTAACTCTTAGCTAAACTGGAAAAGATGCTTTTTCTATAAACCTTCACCACTGGTGGGATTCAAGTAATTTAACAACCAGTTCTCTGCCCTAATGATTTCTTCCAACAACCAGTTTGCCAAACTGCTCAGAAAATTAACAACCGGTTTCTCTCAAAGTGGTGCGAACTGGCTGAATCCTACCATTGACCTTCACATAACTCCTCTTTAAGAGGGACCATGGATGGTCCTAATGGATGGAGACAGTTTTCCTCCAGTCTTCAACCTAGCCATTTTGAGGGAGATTCCTGAGACTTTGATTCGCTTAGAGCTCCTAGAAGCTGCAACATCCTTCATGCTCAAAAAGCAATGGCAAAATTCTTGTTAATAAGCCTTCCTGCATCCTACTGTATTTAATAACTTCTCACTATCCTAATAGATCTGTGTGTGCACGCACACACACACAATTTGTTTGCCCTCTAATACTGACATCATTCTGCTGCACTATATTCCTTGAAGATCCAGCTGTACTAAGAGTGAGTATACACTTTTAATTACCCCTATACCTGGCTATCCAAACTGGTGATAGCCAAAATGGGTTGGCAAAAGTATAGTTAAAACAGCAAATATCTTTCTTGATAAAGAGTTTTACTGGCCTAATTATGAGGCACATTTCAAAATTCTGACTGGGAATCCTTCATTCATATTTGAAAGAGGCACACTTGGGGCACACAGCATTGAGAATTCTCCTAGAAATGATTTCCAGGCTTTTGAATCTAATGCTTGAGAAAATCAGCATTTCCCAATTCTAGCAGAGGGCAAAATATTTCTACTGAGACAGGCCTTCGGCTACCTAGCTGGGTGAGCACTGCTTGTTATCTCAATGTTTTGTGGTACGCAGTTAACGTTTGGAGGCACTCCAAGGTCCATGCTGGAAAAGTGACGGTGCAAAATGAACCCCACATAGAGGATTTTTTAACCCTTCGATGGGAATCTATGTTTTATAGTATTTTAAGTGTATTTACTAGCTTGCACTATATGTTGTTGCATGTTTTCTACCTCGGTATGATAGGAAATTGTGCTGCAGGGTAATCACAGTCAGTAGGGGCCCTGGAAGTTGGTAAAATATAAAAAATATATTCTAATAAAATAAAATAAAAATAACAGGCTCAGGAGCATGTACAATGCTAAAACTTCAAGTTGGCTCCCTCTGTGTTAAGAGGAACTTCCAGTTGGGTTGTGTTTCGTTCTGATTGGCAAATGTCTTGTCCCTTTTTTTCCTTTTGCAAGAAGGCAGGCAGAATTCAGTAAATAACTGACCGGAGGGCTATTCCAAGCTGGAGCAATGGATACAGAGAGGGGTTTTTTTTTTCCGAGCAACCTCACCTCATGAGCTCAAACTCTCCATCTGGTGGTATGAAGCTGATACTCCTCTCCGAGTCAAACTTGCTGAGCCTCACACATTGGTGAAAAGTGCAATCGTCGATGGCGATGGACTGCTTCCCACTAGGACACAGAACCAGAAGGATCAAAATCAGTGCGAAGTCTTGCAGCAAAGGCATTTAGGCTCCCCACTGCAAAACTGTATAGACGGAGCCCACGGTCTCACACATTACGGCTAAGTCACAGAAGGTATTCAAAATAAAGGGCAGCGTGTATAAATGAGCCTTTCTGGGAGCCGCGGGTTCCCTCAAAAGCCACTGGAATTGCCTGATCACCAGGAAATCCAAGCAACATCTGGCTGGACTGATGTTTGCCCACATCAATTCGCTTGGGGAACTGCAGCCCCATCAGACTTGATCAAACATGCCTGTTCCTCAAAGCGTTTTTGGAATGGGAGTGATATAGGTTTGGGGCTGGGTATAACTGCGTATTAACTCATAGTTGTTGGTAATTTGATGAATAAGGCACACTGGCCGATTTCAGAGGTACTGAGCCATAAAGCACAGTTTACAAAGCATAGTAGTAATGGGGTTTATACCCGAGACTGATTCAAAATCAAATAAGCCACCTTAAGGCTTAGCACAAATGTTCAAAAGTAAGCCAAAAACCAGAGGGATTTGTCTCCCAGCTTCTACAAGAGCTCGAGAAGCATAAAGAGTTCCTTTTCGAGAAGCCATTATTTTTTTTCCAGGGGGTTTACTAAAAAAAAAAAAAGAATTTTTTTTTTAAAGAAATCTCTCCGCTGCAAACAGAGGAATCCTCTTGGGCAAAGGAAAAACTTCAGAGACCATCCAACATCAACAAAATCTCACTGCAAATCTTGCAGAAAGCAACTGCTGGGTGGGAGCAAGCGAATGACTTAGCCGGCAAAGTCATTCAAGGACAGTTTGCCAGCGTATGAGAAGGATCTGCACTGCAGGACAGAGAGTGAATGCTGAAAGACACAGGATGGGCATCAGATGCAACTGGCTTCAGACACACAGCTCGGATTGGCTTCAGAGGATGCTGTCTGGATAGTTTTCTCAACCATATAATATGGACAACTTATTTCTGCATCTTCCAAGCATTTTTATTACTCTGCCCTCAATAAATATTCAAGCTTGCTGCTCCGGTTACAGGTAGTCTTCGACTTACAACCACAAGTGAGCCCAACATCTCTGTCGTTAAGTGAGAGACAGTTGCTGAGCTTTGCCCCATTTTATTACTTTTTCTCGCTTACGGTTGTTAAGTGAATCACTGCAGTTGTTAAGTTAATAACACTGTTGCTAAGTGACTCGGCTTCTCCACTGACCTTGCTTGTCAGAAGGTCGCAAAAGGGGATTACATGACCCCCGGGACACTGCAACCGTCATAAATGCGAGTCAGTTGCCAAGTGTCCCAATTTTGATCACGTGACCACGGGGATGCTGCAAAGTGTGAAAAACGGTCATCAGACACTTTTTTCAGTATTGTTGTAACTTTGCATGGTCACTAAATGAATGGCTGTAAGTCGAGGGCTATCTGTATTGAATGAATTGCAGGTAGTCCTCGACTTACAACCGCAATTGAGCCCAGAATTTATGTTGCTAAGTGAGAAATTTGCTAAGCGAGTTTTGTCCCATTTTATGACTTTTCTTGCCGCATTTGTTAAGTGAATCACTGCAGTTGTTAAAATTAGTTAACACCGTTGTTAAGTGAAACTGCTTTCCCATTGACTTTGCTTGTCAGGTCGCAAAAGGGGATCATGTGACTCCGGGACACTGCCATTGTCCTAAATGTGAAATCAGTTGTCAAGCATCCGAATATAAATCACATGACCATGGGGATGCGGCAATGGTCGTAAGTGTGAAAAATGGCCACGAGTCGCTTTTTTCATTGCCGTTGTAACTTCAAACAGTCACTAAACGAACTGTTGTTAAGTCGAGGACTACCTGTATAGTTATAAAATGTTGGTATTTCGAGGCCATGAAAATAAACTTAGCAAAAAATCTGCTTTGACTTAACTGGGAATTTTGCCATTCACGGTTTAAGCGTCTTAGTTTCCAGGGTGGAATTCTGGAGAACTTCTTCCACACCTCAAAAGAATTGGTTTTGCTACTGCCATCACCAGTGGTGGGATTCAAATAATTTAACAACCGGTTCTCTGCCCTAATGATTTCTTCTAACAACCAGTTCACCAAACTGCTCAGAAAGTTAACAACTGGTTCTCCCGAAGTGGTGCGAACCGGCTGAATCCCATCACTGGCTGAATCCTACCCAAACCGGGCACTCCAAAGACTCAAGCCTTCCAAGTACACCGTTCTAGGATTAATTGGGGGGGTGGGGGGGAGAGAGAACCTACTCCTACTTAAAGCCTTCTATGAAATCTTGCCCAAGTCACTCAAGCAAGCTCCTGTCCGTGTCAACCTGATAAGACAGCAACACCTGAGTCGGCTTTGTTCCTCTGAACAAGCACATGGTAGCTCAGCCTTCAACCACAGGTGGGACCTGTGTGGAAGTCTCCAAAGATGGTGGAACATGCACAAATCACACGAAGCAAAAAGGGTGCGGGGGGGAGGGAGGGTGTGTGAGGAACACGTGCACACAGCGGTAAGCAGATTATCTACCTTCCCGTTTCACTGGAGTCAGCAGGACACAAAAGAAAAAGAGAATTCAGTATCAGAAGTGTGTTAAGAGGCAGCCTGGAGGACCTCTGTGTAGACCAATCCTGACGGTATCCTTTAAAGCAGGAAATTTACAGACCCTTATAGCCTAATGAGGGCTGGCCTATGGAATGCAGAGCGATCCTGGGTTTATTGGTTTTCCAGCCTCTCGGTTGATGTGAAAATATAGATTAAGGCAATGGTGTCAGTGCATGAACTAACCCATGAAGTAGGGCCAGAATTTAAAGTTTTCTTGGGAGACCTTCGCCCCTTTAAACCGTAACGGACGTTTACACAGCCCGCTCGTTCAGCTCCCGCTTTAAACAAGGGAGCGAAGCAACAAAAATCACCTGAAGAAAGTTCTGGTATCTTTCCAAGTGCAAAGGGGGAGAGCATACAGACGTATCTTAGAGCAGGACACTGCTTGAAATTTAATCTCCCTCTCTTCACCCCGTTTACCTTTTCCCTGTCTCGTCTGCCGTCCCCTTGCCTTGTTTCTCAATGACGATCTTGTCGTTCATGCCAAATTTACATTCGGGCATGCCGCTTAGGTAGCTTTTCATAACCACTCGTCCTGAGACATGGGCGCTCAACACCTGGCCTAGAAGAAAGGGAAGGCCAAGAATATTTGATGTACTTGATATAATACTTGATATTCCAGAAACTTTTGTGGAATTGGGATCATAGAAACACCCAGGAGCATAGGAGAGTTCAGAGGCAGATGCATAAATAAATGTCTTAAACGTATTTATTCATATGATAAATTATATTAACTATGTACAATAGAGATCAAGTCTCATGAGGAACAAACATGAAAAGAGAGAGATGGAGAGAGCGAGGTGGAAAAGGTTGGAGGGGGTTTTATACTCAGGGTAAGCCCTTCCTTTCCACATAGGGGTGGAGACACTCTCTGCCTCCACTGGCGTCTATATGACACATGTGCCAAAGGCTTACAAATACTTGACAAGCTTTCGAATGGTGAGAACAATTAACCAGTGGAACGGAAGTTGCCTTCAGAAGTTGTGGGTGAAGAGACTGGGAAAGTCACCTGTTGTCAGCTCCCACAGATTCCTATAGGGACACTGTCATTCGTATGAGTCACGGTGGCGCAGTGGTTAGAGTGCAGTACTGCAGACTACTTCTGCTGACTGCAATTTGGCAGTTCAAATCGCACCAGGCTCAAGGTTGACTCAGCCTTCCATCCTTCCGAGGTGGGTAAAATGAGGACCCCCCGATTGTTGGGGGCAAGAGGCTGACTCTGTAAACCACTTAGGGAGGGCTGGAAAGCACTGGAAAGCGGCATATAAATCTAACTGCTATTGCTATTGCTATTCCAGTGGGATGGGGGAGGCTTGGGAGGAATCTCTGTATGGGGTTTCTGTTTCTATTCCTTGCCTTGCTTTACTGTAACTTTTGGGACCTTGGGAGGGGGAATGCATTGCCTTGGAGACCAGCATTTATCATCTTCTCAGCCTGAGTTTCTCATAACATCTTCACACATCGGGATTGGCTCGATGATGTATTGGACTTTGGGAGGGGATCTGTCTGCAATATTTTAATCTAACGTTTTGAGAGGGAAAACTTAATTCCTGCCTATATGTCTTGCTATCACAATCTTCCAATGGAAGTTTCCTTACAAAATGGCTTTCCTTTCAAGAATTCTGCTTTCTTGAGAAGACTGGCGAGGCAGGACCTCCGAAATGGGATAGGGTTCTCCTGCTTGGGTGAGGGGGTTGGAATAGAAGACCTCCAAGGTCCCTTCCAGCTCTAGTCTGGTTGACTTGGTTGGGGTTTTTTTTTCCCCCATCTGGAGAAAGTTCACACTTACCTTGTGGTGACATTAGCAAGTTCACACTCTCTAGAACATCCAGGAAGAGTTCATTGCGACGGTATTTGATCCCTTCGCGCCTCCAACCAATCTGGCCAGTTACCTGGCTGGTAATTTGAGACTGCTCTTCCTTAGTCTGGAGGAGGAGGAAGAGGAGGAGAAAGAAGGAGATGTGCTTTTGTGGGCTCAGCCATCCAGCACCCTCAAATTTCAGGTTTCCAAATGAACTGAAATAGGTTCTTTACAAAACATAAACACCCCCCCCTTTCCCTCCCCAATTACTTTGGGATCCACCTGGACTAACTCAAATTAGGGATGCTGTTTAAATATTACCATTACATTATAATCTGCCTTTTTAATCCTTTGGTTGCTCTTCCTCCCAGAGAAAAATAGATTATTTGTGTAGTCAATAGCCAGTTGACTACAAGAAGTCCAGTTGGAACCATAGTTCGGCCTCAAATACCCTTTGGAGGGATCTGCTGGATTACCTTTGGGGAAGGACAGCAGATTCTCCTACCTGGTGCTATAGGCAGGTCCAACCGTTATGCGGAAAAGCGGGAAAAGAGATGAAGAGCAGCAGCAGCAAGTGCAGCACACACAGGGTTAGGAGGAAGAAGAGAGTAATGTTAGATTGGGGACAAACTGAGATCGCTATGAGCATTACTCCTTTACGCTATGAATCGTCTTGAAGGGGGGGCTTCCTATGAGGAAAATGGGGACGTAAGAAACAGGGGAAGCAGTCCCATAGACACTACTACTACTACAAGGCAGCATCTTTGAAATGATCCAACTTCTCAGAAACCCAGGCAAGGCCACAAATGTTGACGTACAGGCAGTCCTCAACTTACAACAGTTAATTTAGGGACCGTTCTAAGTTACAAGGAAAATTTAAAAAAGTGACTTAGGGCCATTTTTTCACACTTACGACCAATGCAGCATCCCTATGGTCACATGATTTACATTTGGATGCTTGTCAGTCGGCTCATATTTATGACGGTTGCAGTGTCCTGGGGCATCTCCTTTTGTGACTTTTTGACAAAGTCAATGGGGAAGCCAGATTCCCTTGACAACTGTATTACCAATTTAACAACTGCAGTGATTCGCTTAACAAATGCGGCAAGAAAAGTCATAAAATGGGGCAAAGCTCATGTAAATTTCCCATGTAGCAACATAAATTCTGGGCTCAATTGTGGTCATAACTCAAGGACTATCAGTGTAACAAGCTTCTGCCTCTTCCTTGAGGCATCTGTTTGGCAAATACTTAAGATAAATGGATGTGGGTGCCAGTCAGTTCACAGCATGGAGTTCACACATCAATTGAAACTATTAACCATGATGTATTCGTAGGCAGTTTTTCTTACCCTTCCCCTATGCCAGACTATACCTTCCAAATTATTGGAAGATAATTATGATTAAATCATTATTGAGTGGATTGATACAATATATCAAGCCCACCACATCCCCTCCCATCAAAACAAAACCTGATCAGTATGTGAGAGAAATTCTTTCCTTATAGTTAACATAACTGGCATGATGTATCTCACTCCTGAGCCTTTATACTAAGTCTGTTTTTCATGAGGCAGTATTTAACCTGACTAACATATATCTAGGTGTCCACTCCTCCCAGATTTCTGCATGGAGCTTGACCCAATACAGTTCCTTCGTAATAATCCTATAAGAGGGCCCTCTGTCTCTCAGTCCTACCTGAGGTCACCTCTATTGAAAGATATGAATGACTTCATCCATCCTAGTCTAACACTAAGCAATCATCTACTGTGAGGCTGTCCATCATATTAGTTCCTTTCACACATCTGTCCCGATGGGTGAAAATATCTTTCTTCATAGCTTTTCTCTAGGAGCCCAAGTCGCAACTGAAGCCTGAAAATACACAAAAACCCTGCTTGTTCTCTGCAAGCATGCAATAGATTTCTTTCAGGGCCTGCTAAGACGACTCTACAGGAAGCAAACAGCTGGCTCGGTTTTCTGGCAATCGTTCTACCCTATTTGATACAAGACCGAAGATATTGTTGTGAAAGCCCCATTTCCTGTTAGTACAAAAAGCTGGGCAGATGGCCAAGGATTCCAATCTTTCCCCGTTTCCTAGAACGGTTTGAACCCAGAAGAAAAAGGACACTGTTTTTCTTGGTATACAATGTTTAAGTCCTTTAATCAATGTTTCTATTGTACTAGTTCAGTTTAAAAAAAAAAGGTTTTGGTTATTCACCCTTTAAGATGAATTTTTGGATCTTTAATTCAACTGAATTAAAAGTGTGACAGGAACATCACCGGCTTTCAAAATTGCCAAGCTAGCAACACATTTTTCTTCACAATCACAGAGCTGGAAGAGCAACCTGTTCCATTGTCAGGCTTATGCTTATTCTACATTTAGGCTTGTAAGAAACATTTGCGTGTAAACCATTAGGTTTTTAAGACACATTTGCCTGTAAGAAAACTCTCATTAAGAGCAGCATGCTATTGTCACAATTCTTCGTTCCTGCGCTACTAAAACAGCTCTTTGCTATTAGCCAGCCTTCTCCAGTTTGGTGCTCCCCAGATGTCTGAACAAACTCCCTTTATCCCAGAGATCACCACAGCGCAACCTATATAGAGGGTTTCAAATTGCAAAACAATTCTTTACCTAGGCACAGATCGTACCGACTGCTTACTGGCTTACGTAGCACTTTCAGTCATAAACAACAGTTTACAAACCATACATTAAAATGCAAAGCCAAAATCAAGCAAATTTGGGCCCATGAAAATATGCTGGCTTGCTCTGTCAAATGTTTCAGAAAAGCACGGTATCTTCATTTACTGAACAATCCAAGTGAGACACAACCCCAATAGAAAGCTTACTAAGGGAAAATCACTTCTCTGGCTTAGCAAGCTTAACCGCTATAAAAGGATGACACCCTTTCCTGTTTTTCTTAGTAGGGGGAAAAAATGGCAGGAAGCAGTAGGCAATAATATCAGAGAGCAAAACAAAATGGATTTTTACAGGAAATCAGCAAGAATTGACCAGAAACATCCAAATATCTATGTGAAACCATTTATGAGCTGCACAGACTCCCATTCTGAAAAAGCTTTTAAAAAGGGGTTTAAACGTTTAAAAAATAGCATTTTAGGAAGAAAAGTTTCTGAAGCATGTCACACTGTGGTAGGTTGATGAGTTGCCCTGATGGACATGAGAAGATGTAATAGTCTTAAGTTAAAACAGCTTTTTTTTCTGGTGTGCCAAAACCAGACACACTGGCATACAGATATTAAAAAGCTTCACACTTGATTACAACTGGATGAAGCCCCAGCACCTTACAGCTGAACTACATAAAAGGCAGGTGGGTTATTGGCTAGTGCTGGAACTACAATATAGCATCATTTGGAGATATTGTTATATATCAGGAATAGGTGGAGGAGAAATCCATAATTGAAAACCCATCAAGATGGAGGGAGGGATCTCCTAAATCAGAGGTGGGGAACAATGGCCCCTTTATGGCTTGTGGACTTCAACTCCCAGAATTCCTGGGCCAGCATGGTTAGTAGAGGGGGGGGCTGTACTTTCTGGAGAACCTCAGTGAGGACAGCCTAAAAAAATGTTGGAATCCAAGAAGCCCAGGAAAAATTTTTGCTTCTACCTGTTTTTACAGGTAGTCCTCAATTTACAACAGTTTATCTAATTTCAACAGCACTGAAAATAGTGACTTGTGACCATTTTAACACTTAATTGTAGCATCCTCGTGGTCACGTGATTGTAGCATCCTCGTGGTCACGTGATCGAAATTGGATGCTTTGCAACTGGTTCACATTTATGACAGTTGCTGTGTCCCGGGATCATGTGATTATCTTTTGTTACCTTCCAACAAGCAAATTCAATGGGGAAGCCAGATTCTTTTAACAAGTGTGTTACCAACTTAACAACTGTGGCCAGAAAAGTTGCAAAATTGGGCAAAACTCACTTATCTAATGTTTTACTTAGCAACATAAATTCTGGGCTCAATTGTGGTCGTAAGTTGAGGACCACCTTTATTTACCCTTTTACAAATAAGAGGCTCAAAAAACTCCATCTGAAATTGATGGTGTAATATTGTGTTTATTAACCAAGAGTTAACTCAGGGGGTGTCCAACCTTGGCAACTTTTAAGACTTGTGGTTGTACCTCAACTCCCATGCTGGGTTGGGAATTCTGGGAATTGAAGTCCACAAGTCCTAAATTTGCCAAGGCTGGTTACCTCTGGGTGGGTTAAATAAAAGAGTTTGGGATCTGGATGTAGCTAACTTATTCTCGAATCCGCAAAATGTTCAGACCAATTAAACTGGGACAGAGAACTTCAGCCTTTATGTCCAAAGTTTTTCAGAGCAAAAAAGAAAAAAAAAGGAATCACTACTACCATCCCATCCATATGAAGGAAACTAGGAGTGATTGCAACTGAAATATTCAACTATATTGTGCATCCCAAAGATGTTGTCATAGAATGTAGTGACAGTAATTCTTTTTTTAAACATTAACGATTAATTCAAACATGTGTCAACCTGAATTTACCTGGCTCTTGATTCCTTGCTGGGTGATGAATGTTTTCAGGGCTCCTGTTTCAGAGTTCTGAGGGTAACCAAAGTCCAGGATTTCTACAGAAAAGTAAACAATTGTTGGAGAAAACCAACAGCTAGGCTAGTTTTTCTTTCAACTGACTCCCTTTGGGCAAATGACTGGTCAACACCGCTCAAGGAAAGTTGCCCCACACCGCACGTTGTCGTACTGATTCCCGTAAGGAGTGATCGGGCTTGGCCTACAGTTTGCAACAGTTAGAACAAAACGACAAACTCGGCAAAGACAGCAGAATCACAACATCGAAGGAAACCCGCTCTGAAGCCGGATAATTCAACAGCAGCAGAATAATCTATCTTTGCAGCATTTTCTTTAGATTTTGATTTTCACATTAGCATGGCATAAAAATCAAAACCTAAAAAAACAACAGCAGAGTAGCAGATATCGTAGCGTACACAGACAAGTTAAGCTCTGGAAAGAGAGAAGTGCCATTAACTGCCTCCTTCCAAGAGGAGATAGACAAGGCTCTCAAGATCCAGACCTGCAACACAAATAGGAAACGAAACTGTGCTTTTGCTAGGTTTAAGTCCATTTGCAAATCCATCGTCATCCTGCTTCCTTCTCCTGCCCAAAAAGGCTTTTAAATACCGTAACCTGAAAGCAGTTTTTCAATCCCAACTCACCCAGGGGATCATTCTTGGAAAGCCACTATCTGTTGATAACATGATTGGGAAAAAAAAAGTTCAGTGACACTAAAGAACAGCATTCTTTGGCTCATAAAAACGCAAGCATTAAGAATTAAAGCAGTGGTTCGTATTACAGATTAAGGTCAAGGCACAGATGTCTTCCAGATGTTCCTGAACTGGAGCTTCTCAGCAGCTCTAATCAGCATAGGGGGATGCCAGTTCCGGCATCCGGCGAGTCACACGTTCCTCTTTCATGATATAGATAAAATGTAGTCCTTGACTTACAACAATTCATTTAATGACCGTTCGAAGTGCTGAAAAGTGACTTATGACCATTTTTCACAATCCGCAACCGTAGTAGCATCCCCACAGTCACGTGATCAAAATTCAGACGCTGGGCAACTGACTCGTATTTATTTATTTAAATTTTTATTTTATTTAAATTTGTATACCGCCCTTCTCCTAGTGGACTCAGGGCGGTGCACAGCCAAGTAAAAAACATCCAATACAAAATTTAAAAATTTAAAAGAATTATACCCTTTGGCCAAAAATTAAGAACCTTACGACTAAAACCCATTAAACAATTAAAAAATCTAATATCTCAAAAATTTATGATGGTTGAAGTGGCTCAGTGTCATGAGATCAACTTTTGTGACCGTCTGGAAAACAAAGTCAAGGCTGAAGCCAGATCCACTTAACAACCCTGTTACTAACTTGACTGAAATCATTCACTTAACAACTGTAGCAAGAAAGATCATAAAACGGGGCAAAATTCACTTAACAAATGTCTCACTTAGCAACACATATTTTGGGCTCAATTGTGCTTGTAAGTCAAGGACTACTTGTATTTGCACAGCATGTTAACCTGCCATTTGAGCACATAACTGTGGCTGCGATGTTAGAGGTGCTTGTGTTGCACTCGCCTTCATGGAGAATCACTCACCTTTAACTTTCAGTCTGCTATTTAGTTCTATAGAAAGTGATTTACAAAACATTGAAATTTTTAAACGAGAGGTAGCTTCCCCTATACCATCAGGTTCACTTTGCACAGATCAATCTTCTTATCTCAACTATGCCCAGAATTCACTAGTGCACATTGCAGAAGTCAAACATTTACAGAGAAGAAATAATTCTTCCATTGGAGCACATTTAGTTCTTCCTTTGCCCTTGTCATTATTTAAAAACTAAATACAAACCAAAAAGTACGGAGCCTAGCACCCTCACAGTGAGCATAGTTTAAATTTATTCGCCCAGAATCAATTAATTTTACATACTGTATACCATAAAAGCCTTCATAGGTTTGCAGTGCCCGAGTTGAAGGATGCGCCTTTCCAGAAGGGAGACTGAGCAACTTATCCTTACCATCCAGAAGCTCGTAGATGAGCACAAAGTTGTTTTTGATGTTCTCTTCACTGATCTTTCCAAAATAGGCAGTCATCACATCACACATTTTGTAGAGGAACTCGAAGACCATCGCAGCATTAACATTTTGCTTGGTGACGGCAGCCAGCCAGATATTGGAACGTTTGACATGGAAGAAACTGGTGCGAGCGATGTTGGTGACCGGTGAACGCACTTGTTGTCGTGCGTGGATGACATTGACTCGGAAAGCATCCACTGCATTCCGCCTGGAGAATTAGAACAGGGTAGGGAGACGTTGAGAGAGATGACCAAAGCACGGAGAATAATGAATTATATAAAAACAATAATTATGTAAAATAAAATAAATTTTGAATTTGCAAATAAATCAGGAGTGGCTGGAATATAAATTACAAAAAAGGAGAACATAATATTGAATTTACAAGTGGGAGATATTGTATTATTGGACAATGTGGCCATACAAAAAACATTTTATCAATATTATTCCAACTTGTATAAAGGAAATGACAACTCTCTATAGAGAAAATAGATAAGTATCCAAAGAAACTCAATTGACTGAGGATCATAGAGGAGCAGAGACAGATTATGAACAGATTTATAACAATACGGGAAGTTTCTGAAGCTATAAAAATATTAAACTAGGAAAGTTGCCTAGATCAGGTGCATTAACACGTTCTTATAATAAATGTTTTGAGGATAAACTTTTACAACCTTTACAAAACGCACTGAACTCTATCCTACAAGGAGGAAAGATGCCAGAAAGTTGGAAAGAGGCTAATATAGCAATATACCTAAAGAGAGACAAGACTTGACTTTAATAAGAGATTATAGGCTGATGTCATTATTGAATAATGACTATAAATAGTTCACGATTCTAGCTGGTACACTGAAAACAATTCAGCAAGAAATTATTCAAGAAAATCAATGTGGGTTTTTACCTAAAAGACAGTGTTAGGAAAGTGTTGGACATTTTGGAATATTCAAACAACATAATGAAAAACAAGCCGTATTGATCTGAGATGCAAAGAAAGCCTTTGACAATTTGAATTCGGCTTTCTTGTTCAAGGTTTTGGAAAATACAAATTTTGGAGATAGCTTTATAAAATGGGTAAGATCGATTTACACTTCACCGAAAGGACAAATAATTGTTAATGGATATCTAACAAAACCCTGTGAAATAAAAAAAGAAACAAAATAGTGATGCCCATTGTCTCCTCTCTTCTTTATTTGGGTTCTTAAAATATTCAATAGAAATACAAGATGAGAGGATTGTGGGATTAATGACTTTAAAAGAAATTTATTAAGTTAAAGGCTTTTACAGATGACTTGGTGTTGATTCTGGAAGATCCTTTAATGGGAACTGAAATATTAATAGGAAATGAATTTGGTGCATTTCAAGACTAATAAACAGAAAATGAAACTGTTAACAAAAATAGACGATCAAACAGAATGTATGAATAAAATGTTACGGTTGAGAAGGTAAAACAGCTGGGTATCACAATGACAAACATGAACTGTATGTTATTTCAAAATAAATATGCTAAGACATAGAATGAAGTTTTAAAAGACATATTAAGATGGGAGAAACTATAACTGTTATTCTTCATCCTTGTGTTTTCTTGCAGGTACATGTTCCGCTTTTCATTATCAACAAACACTATCTATACAAACTGCATATTGTAAAATACCACAAGCTATTATTACCCTAATCAATACTTACTTAACAGTGGAATCAGTTGCTTAAAAGAATGAACATACCTTGATTCAGAGGAAATATTTTATTAGGCATATGTGGGTGATGTCATTATAAGGGAAAAGTCTAAAAAATTCATTGCATGTTTTCAATTACAGTAAAAGCAACTGATCAACTATCAGTTCTAGCTTCAAGAACACATTGATGTCTTCCATTTCATGTTTTCAAATTCAAGACAGCTATTTCTCACTCAAGTGCCCAGCTTCATATATTATTAAACATTTAATAAATATCACAGAGACCTTTTTGTAATAATGATGCAAAAATATACAGATTAACATTGCCAGGACCTTGGATTAATTTCCTGAGCAATCAAACCCAAATCCATTATTCATGTCAAGTTTAAAGATTAGTTTAGCAATTATCTGGATTTCTTCAGACTTCTAAGGAAATTCACTTTTAATAGATATTTGAGATTATTGCTATTGAGTTTTCTATAGTTTATCTCCTTTTCTTATGACTGTTCAAATAACAAAAAAAAATCAGTAAGAGGAAGTTTCTAGTTTCTAACTGTCTAAGAATCTGTAGGCTCCAGTTTCTCAAATGGTAAAGATAATAACTGGTTTGCTTTAACATGAGCCAAACTTCATATAGTCATGTTTTTGATTTGATACTGCCTTAATGTCAGTGGTGATACAAAAGTGAGCTTGACTTTATACACCAGGTGCTCCATGTTGAGTTCCTGCCATTCTTCTCTTACCTATTACTACAGCGGCCAATGAGATGGGATGAACAGAAATGGCGTCAGCGAAGAAAAGGAGTGACAGCAACAAGAGAAAGGTTAGAACACACACATACACACAAAGCACAATGAATCAAACCAAAAGGAGAAGAGACAACAGACAAGAAACCCCCTCCCACAAAAAGATTTCAAGGCACTATTTAAATTCCCTAGGCCAGCTTTCCCTGCCCCATACTTCTAATTCACAATTGGTATATGGCCACTGCTCAATCGGCATGCTCAATGGAATTTATGCATATTTCAAGATATTTGGAGGAGACCAGGAAAGAAAAACTGGGCTAGGCAGAGAAGCAAAAAAGCTCTTTTAAGAAAAGGCAAGCGGTGTATGAATTGTACAGTATGGAGCAACCAGGCTGTGTGATCATAGATAAGCATGAACCCATATCCCTCTCTTTGATCTTATCATGCAGAATGCCACTGAAGCCAACATCTGAAATAACTTTTGATTGACAGAAAAGCACAACTCCTTGCAATCATTTTGGTTTTTTGTTGTTGTAATCATCTCCAGCCTGAACTCAGATAACTAGGGAACAAAAGGGACAACACCATATAGTTATCAGCTTTCCGATTTCAAGATTGGCTTGGGAGCTTAACATATATATATTTGATAAATAAATAAATGAACAAATTTGCTGATTCACAAATATCCTTTGAGGTATGAATTTATCTATCAAGGATTCAATGTATATTATTGTTTTTTTTTCTTAACCAGGAAAAGAATTGTTTTAAGAAAATATTTAAGTTGTAGGTTCAGCCAGATAAGGTCATAGCCCAAGTAGAACTGTTTCCTGAAACCTGTAATAGCTATATAAATAATGCTTCAAACAAAATTAAAAAGCATATTTAAAAAGGAAGGTAATACACCCCCATTCCGTGTAGAAGGCCTTGCGGAAAGCTGCAAAAACCCAGAAGATACAGGGAGATAGGAAGCGGGCTCCCCAGAAGCCATTCCAGGCAGGAGACAGGGTGTATCTATCAACCAAATATTTAAGTTAAGGGTCCCTTGCCGGATGTTGGGTCCGAAGTTCATGGGACCCTTCCCCATCGTACGAATAATCAAACCTGTAACAGTGGAGCTGAAACTACCTAGACTGTTAGGAAAGGTGTATCCTGTATTTCACAGTAGTCTACTTAAGCCTGTGAGTCCATTCAACCACAACCATTACCATGTCCCGTGGAGGTGGGAGGAGAGACCCATTACGAGATCCATCAGATATTAGACTCCCAACTGCATAGGGGTTGATTACAGTACCTGGTTCGATGGAAGGGATATTCCAATACAGAAACCTGCTGGGTGGCAAGCGGAGACATATGGGCGGCCCGTTTGCTCAGGAAGTACCATGGGAAATATCCTCACAAATGGGGGGGCGGACACGGGGGGAATACAGAATGCCAGGTATAGTACCCTTTTGCTATGTATCCTCACTACATTTGCTTACTATCTTCCAGATGCGGCCCTGGTAAGAGGGGAGCCACCTGTCAAACCTCGGGATTTGCCTTACCGGGGCGGGGGGGGGGGGGGGGGGTCATAGGCCAAAAACGGGGGGGGGGGGGGGGGCAAGGTGTCGATCAGCTGTGAAGCCCCAGCCACGCAGAGCCAGTTAGAGCTATAGCTGACTTTCAGGCAAGGGCTGCACTGGTGGAGGGGGTGGCTTGCCTATATAAACGCACTGGAAGGCGAATGCTCCCAGCGCTGACTTTAATCCCAGATTGAATCTGTTTCGTGACCAGTGCTTTTTGGAGCTCATCTGTGTGCCTGAGTCTGGCTTAATAAACCCAGTTATCACCCGCCCACACACCTGGGGTTGTTACTACTGGATTAGGTCTGGAGCTTGGACCTTTTGAGAGTTTTAGTAGTATATAAATTGATCACTTTTGTTTTGGGTTTTGTTAAGGGTTTTGCAATTTAAGGGTTTTGCAGAATCTTTTACAGCTAATCTGTTCTTTATACCTACTTATAAAGGTAATGCTATTTTAATTAATCATTACATTGTTTTTATATTATGATGTGTAAGTTTTGTAATACAGCCTGCCTAATTTGATAATGCAACATTTACTTATCTCTGTACTGAGAATTACTTCAGAGGTTCTATGAATCTCTTTTTTAAATACAAGCTTTGAACTGATATCATTACTGCCTTATCTCTCAGAGTATCTACCATTCAGTGTTATGCAGGATATCGCCCTCAATGCCTAGACAAAATATTGAACTCTGATTTCCAAGAAAATTCCACGCCACACAATATTATTATATGCTGACTGCTTAACCCTTTGTAAAACTTAAAATTATCTTTAAGTCTGCAATATTGGTTCTACAATATAATCTGAGCTGCAACTAAGTTCAACAAATAAAGAAATTCTGATTAAAAAATACACAAAACAGCGTACTTTGCTATGTTTCTATTAAACATAATGAGTCAGTATTTTCTGTCTTCATTGGAAAAGGTTCATGACTCACACTATGGAAATGTTTTACAACTTATGAGTGGATTTAAAATATGTTTATGTAGCTAGTCCTTTTAATATACTCTTTGTTTTATTTTGACAGGTTTTTAATATTGTTTCTATCATTTCTTTGTAGACCACTCACAGCTGTTAAGGAAATAACGCACCATACATATCTTTTTAAATGTAACCTTTCAAATTGTTTCAAATTAAAACCTTTAAACAATAATTTTCCAAATTCCTCTTTCTTACGCAACTGTAACAACATAGTTTTGAAAAACTTAGGTAAAAAAAATAACACAAGAGACAAAGGTAATCCCCAGGTTACGAGCATTCCCTTAGCGAAAGTCCAACGTTACGTTTACAAGTCTCAAAAGTACGAATCTTACAGCACCACAGCAGTTGTTTGCCCTTACAAACAACTGCAGAGGCTCTGTAACATTCATCCTGCACGTTGCCGGCCAAAATGAAGGTTCGGAGGGTCACCTCTCCGGAGTTCCATTTCAGCCTGCAACATGCCGGGGGAGGCCTGCAGAGGTCCGAACAGAGCGTCGGAGGAGCAGATGCAGCTGAGAGGCTGGAGAGGAGAATGCTTGCTAGATCTTCACATGGCAAGTGTCCCAGCATGGCAGATTGGGGAGGGGGGAGCACTTGTGGGGCACCATGAGGTAATTCAGTGAGTGGGCAAAAGGAAGAAGTGATCCCATTCACGGTACGAGATTCACTCCCACGAATCCTCGGGTTATCAGTGGAACGGGGAGGCTCCATTACATTCGTAACTCAAGGACTATTTGTACTTAGAAAGAAAAAGGTTCAGTTTATGTTAAAGTGCATTTTGAGAAAATTTAGCAGCTTATTATTTCTTTCTCTAGATTTGACATAAACAGAATATTTAAAGATAATGAAAATATTGTATTTAAAGAACAAAAATATATTCAACGCATAAGAAGAGTTGCTTCAATCAATACCTATTTTTCATTGTTAAGTGCCTGGGAATAATATAAGGTAACACATACCATGAGATAACAAAATGAACACAGCCTGGATGCAACACACAATACACAAGTTCCACATGCACAAAATGTATAGCAACAGCAGCTCAAATGTTGCAAGAAGTGGTATCAGGGTTCAAAAGTAATGCAGGATGAAGACTCTGACTTACCCAATGTCATCCCTGTAAACCCGGGAGATTAAAACCTCTCCCTTATGATTATAAATGAACAGGCCTCCAATCATGATGAATTCTTAGTCTTCTTTTTCCATGGTGTTTATATCCAATCTGTAATTATAGGAAAGAAGATTATGGTTATTACTGAAAAGAGGCAGGCAATTACCAATTGGCTTTGCAGCAAACCAATCTTTATTTATTTATTTATTTATTTATTATTTAAATTTTTATACCGCCCTTCTCCCGAGGGACTCAGGGCGGTTAGTTTCCTCATCTACTGTAATGTGCAAGGAACTAATCAGAGTTCACAAATCTGCATGCTACAAGCTCCTCTGATCTCTCTGACAAGTAACAGGTAAATTAGGAGCATTGCACCATCCCGTTCTTCTCGGGATTAGGCTTGTGCTGAGCACATCTCCCAAGCATACCTAACCAGGTATGGAAGAATAATCCAACATGATTACATTTCCAACAGTTTTTGTCAACTGATATATAAAACTTCCATTAAAAAACTATTTTGGCAAGAAATACCAACATATTAGGCGGGATCCTGAACCATTTTTAACAGTGATGTTCACAGGAGATACACTATTTAACTTCAACCAATGTAGCTATTGCATATTAGCTGTTCAATTTAGATGTTGCAATCTTTAACTTGTCCAATTTCCAAATCATATTTTGGTATTACATACAGATAGTCCTTGACTTACAACCACAATTGAGCCCAAAAGTTTGGTTAAGTGAGACATCTGTTAAGTGAATTTTGCCCCTTTCTACTCCTTTTGTTGTTAAGTTGTTAAGACAGTTGTTAACTGAATTACTGTAGTCGGTAAGTTAGTAACCTGTTTGTTAAGCGATTCCCCCATTGACTCTGCTTGTCAGAAGGTCACAAAAAGGGATCACGTGATCTTGGGACACAGCAACAAACATAAATATGAACCAGTTGCCAAGCATCTGAATTTTGATCACATGGATCACGGGGATGCTAGAAAGGACTGTGAAACTGTGAAAAGCGGTCACAAGTCACATTTTTCAATGCCCTTGTATCTTTGAACGGTCACTAAACGAACTGTTGTAAGTCAAGAGCTACCTTTATACACTCAAACAGAAGTCTGCATTTTGTATTATAATTATTTCAAATTTGATCAAGATTCTAAGTCAGTGATGACTAACCTTTTTGCCCTTGTGTGCCAGGAACGGGGGGGAGAGGGGGGTCGCGTGCATGCCTGCCCACACCCATAATCCTATGCGCCCAGCCCCTGCGCACACTCCCCCCCCCCTCCTGGCACGGTGGGACCAGAAGGCCCGTTTTTTGCTCTTCTCCAGGCTCCAGAGCCTTTCTAGGAACCTGGGGAGGGCGAAAACAGCCTTCCCCACCCACCCACCCACCCTGGTGGCCTTTCAGAGGCCGGAAACAGCCTGTTTCCCTACTTCCGGTGATCCCAGAAGGCCCAAAAATCAACTTGGAGCTGAGCTCACATGCCCATCGATATGGCCACGCGTGCCATCTGTGGCACATGTGCCATAGGTTCGCCATCACAGTTCTAAGTATTCTACCTTGCTTCTGTAAACCTTTGGAACTAATACTATGTATATGAAGGCATTAAAATCATAATGTTTCTGATCGTTCCATGGATAAAGTCTCAAAAGATTTTCTCTTTATTTTATTAAACGTTAGATTTGCAGTCTATCAGTGATTATTTCTCTATGGATCATTTCTTACCAAAACTGCACTTATGAAAATATTTAATATTCAGGCAAGAAGCAATTACTCTGGGCTTTTTTCATCGCCCCATACTTTTAATACTCTATTATTTAATTATAATACACTGGACACTTCAATTGGTACCAGATCAAAGATATTTAAGCAAGCTTTCTGGGAATCCTTCCCCAAAGACATAGCAACATAATCCGAGGCCAACAATTAGCTTAATAGTATAACATTAGGCGCAGGCAATCCAAAATGACTTTTGCATCTTGTACATTCTTACAGTTGAATCTTAGTCTAGTCTACCTGTTTGAATGAAATTTGTTGTTTTTCTTTGTCATTCATTGTCTTCACATGTTGTTGGAATCATTTGGTTAGAAAGTTAGGGTAATCTTTGATAAAGCATTAACTTATTCCTAGCCAGGATGAGTATAAAGCAGTCCTTGACTTATGAACTAAGTATGAGTTCGTTCAGTTGTGAGGCAGTGCAGCACAAGGTTAGGAAGATTAGGAAAAAATGGGTGCATGCAAGCGCAAGGAGGCCACAAAACAGCTCTGGGGTTGCAAGAAACTTCTAAGCTGCAGGGCAACACAAAACCCAGACCCCAGCCCAGCCTCAGCATCCTGCACTCCTGTAACTGCTGGCCACATGAGGCTATCTTCCCCGGTATCCTGCAAGGAAACTGCTGAGCACATCCTAGGGAAGAAAGTCTTGTGCTATCAGCAACTGCCTCACACGGGTCCAGGCCAGGGATTATTGGTCAGCAGCAGGAGAAAGGAGGTCAGCTAAGATGTCAAGAACTGTGGAGCATAGGGAGCCAAAGGCAATTAAAGAGCCATGGTGGCACAGTGGTTAGAATGCAGCATTGCAGGCGAAGTCTGTCCACTGCCAGCAGTTCGATCCTGACCCGCTCAAGGTTGACTCAGCCTTCCCACCTTCTGAGGTTGGTAAACTGAGGACTCAGGTTGTTGGGGACAATAAACTTGACTCTGGGAACCACTTAGACAGGGCTGTAAAGCTCTGTGAAGCAGTATACAGGGTGGATAAAAATCAATGATTTTTTTAAAAAAATCAAAAAAATCTGATTTTTTTTTATTTAAATCAGATTTTTTTAATTTAAATTGGATTTTTTTTTTAGTTTTATCGAATTTATTTTAATAAAAAACTTTTGGGGTAAAAATCTATCGTAAGATAGTTTTCTATTTAAGATACATAAATAATGTAGTTTATTCAGCATGAAATGGAGCTTAGTTATGTAGCATGAGGCTGTATATTCTGCAACACTGGGACTATCGGTGAGTCAACAGTGGGTCAAAGGAGTAGCAGAGGTGACAGTTGCTCTTTAAAAATTATGATTTAAATCGAGTTGATTTAAATCAAGCCTTTTTACTAGTGATTTAAATCATGATTTAAATTGTGATTTAAATCAACTCGATTTAAATCAAATCCACCCTGGCAGTATCCAAGTCTAAGTGCTATTGCTTTGAATAATTTTCTGAAGTTACTTTGGATCCATGAAGGAAAATCCAAGCCTCAATTTATCTTTTTCAGAGAGGTGAAATAAAAACACCTCTCTAAACTATCAAAAGCTTTTTCCTCATTAATATTATCGATTGCACTCAAGATGTATCCCACATTATCGCTTCAAGACCAATCCAGTCTGATCAAGCTATTTAATCTCTTTCCAAGGACAGCCATGAAAATCTTGCAGTCTGCATTCAATAAAGAGATAGGCCCATCGGACTCTAGACAAGTTGGATCACTTCCCTCTATAGAAAATATAAAAGCCTTCTGTTAGTTTAATAGTTTGGTAAGAATTTCTTTGAAAGCCTTATAGAGAGGAGTCATCCAGTCCTGTTGATTTATTCAATTTTCATATCTGCACTACTTCCTATGTTTCATTTTCTTGTTATAGTTTGTTAAGTACTTCCTTTTTCTGGTCTGCAAATTCCATGATCTACATTTGGTTCAAAATACCCTGTAAACTTCCCCTAACAATTTCTCCAGATATGTTTTTTTCCATATAGTCAAGAATATTTAACAACCTGATGTTAGAAGTTGAAACGGGCTTTTTTTAAATCCCAAACCATTTTTTCTCTTGTTCTTTTACCAATTGATAAGCCAAACATTTCTGCTGTTTGTTGTCTTTCACAAAACGCTTCCTACTTCATGAATTTTCTTATAAGTGTCATTTCCTTTCATAAGATCTAACGTAGATACCTTGAATCTTTCCTTTTTATACTGATCACCAAGAGAAGGTTGTGTAACACCTCAAAAATCTGCTTTTCAACAGATTTTGGTCATGTCATCTGGAGTCTTCAGAGTCTCAGCTCCTGTTCACAGAGCAGATTAAAGTTGCAGCCAAGAGGACTTTTCCAGTTACATCTTCTGTACCAGTTACGTCTGCTCCTTCCTGGACTGGGAAGCCCCCACACTCATGCTCTAGTTGCCTGACAGTTGGATTACTGTAATAAGCTCTAAATGGGTCTGCCCTTGAAAACCATCAGGAGCTGCAGCAGGTCCAGAATGCAGCAGCCTGAGCAAAGATGGGGGCACCAAGTTATATGCCCATGTTCCTGCTGCTTTGTAAGCTGAAATAATTGGCTTCTGGATGAATTCCAGGGGCTGATTATCACTCTTAAAGCACTCCATGGCAGAGGATCCGACCTGGTTATCTGAGGGACCATGTACCTCCAATTGTCTCCGCTCATCTGGTTTGATGCAGCAGGGTGTGACTCGTTCATTAAATGACATCATTTGGGATTCAGAAAACATGATTACTATTGCAATTCCTGCCCTGTGGAATGATCTCTCCCCAAAATTTCTGCAGCGCTCCGTTATGTCATTCAGGAAATTGTTGAAGACCTGGTTATTTGCCCAGTTGTTTGGCAATATATCCTTACTTTAACCGGGCAGCCAAGATGGCTTTTTACATCTTGAGTGATCCCGTTAGAAATATTCATTCTTGGCCCACACTCCCTCATCACAATGAGATAGCACAACTATACTTGGGGGTGAATGGATGATGCCAAAGCTTTGCCATCATCCATAAAGGGACTCCAGATGAAATGGAGTAGCCCACTTGCATTTAATCTTTCTTTCTTGGAGGCTGGATATTTAAGTATATTGCAATGCAACTTCATTGTTACAAGGGTGGATAAAAATCGATGATTTAAAAAAAAAAAGGATTTTTTTTATTTTTATCGAATTTATTTTAATAAAATGCTTTTGAAGTAAAAATTATCTAAAGATAGCTTTCTATTTAAGATATATTAATAATTTAGTTTATTCAGCATGAAATGGAGCTTAGTTATGTAGCATGAGGCTGTATATTCTGCAACATTGGGACTGTCCGTGAGTCAACAGCAGGTCAGAGGAGGAGCCACTGCAGGACAGAGATGA